AACAAGATTAGTTTGGATAAATTGAACAACAGTTTTATTGGCTTAAAAAACATAACAAACCTGTTACTATCTAAAAACTGCTACTTCTGGAATCCCTGTGGGAAGTCTGTTGCTATTATGGAAAAACCCTTTCAAATACTGGACAAACTGCAGGTTCTTGACTTGTCTTATAACAACTTAACCCATGTTCCTAAAGGACTACCCCAGTCAATTACAATCTTACGTCTGGATACCAACAAAATAGAGAACATATATAAAGATGATTTCCAGGGGTTGCTAAATTTTAAAAGTCCTTGATATAAAAGGCAACTGTCCAAGATGTCACAATGCTCGGTACCCTTGTGTTCCTTGCCCTAATGGTTCTATTGACATACATCCTGATGCATTTCAAAGACTGACACAGCTTGAGACACTGAACCTGGGAGGAAACTCACTAAATTACCTTAAGCCCTCTTGGTTTCAAAGTCTAAAGAATCTTAAAGAATTATATCTGGCATTTAATTTTTTACTAAAATCTGTAACTGGTGAGGAACCATCTTTTGAGGCATTTAGTTATCTTCACAGGCTAGAAAAACTTGACCTGTCTTTCAATTATGCTCTCGGATTGTACCCAGAAAAATTAACACTTTCAAAAGACTTTTCACAGCTCAGGTCACTGAAAACTTTGCATTTGGAGGCTTTGGTATTCCAGAGAATTGGACCAGACACACTCACGCCTTTACAATCTAAAAAATTTATCTGCTTTGAATTTAGGCACTAACTTCATTATTTATAGCAACTCTACTTTATTCAGCCAATTTCTCCCACGTAAAAATGATTTATCTAGCCGAAAACAGGTTATATCCCACAACAATAGAAAGTCCACCAACTCTAACCGACAGATACAACCAGAATTCAGACCTTTCTATTTCACCGTCAATAACAGCTACTCCAAAAGACTTTAGCTACGAGATATCACACAGCCTAATAAAGCAAGAGTGCTTTGACTCTGGACGAGTGCTCATCCTCAGCTCAAATAATCTGTTCTTCATTTCTCCAAAGCTATTTGAGGGATATGGAAATATTTCATGTCTCAACCTCTCAGGAAATGGATTTTCACAGGCACTTAATGGCACAGAGTTCAAGATGTTGCCTAATCTGACATATCTGGATTTATCTTTCAATAAGGTCGATATGGCCTATAACGACGCCTTCAAAGAACTAAAGAAATTACAAGTACTAGACCTCAGTTACAATCCACACTACTTTAAAGCATTTGGGGTAACGCTCAATTTAAATTTTACACAAAATCTACCTGTGCTAAGAGTCCTTAATATGAGTCATAATGAGATTTCCACACTGACAACAAAAGAAATGTATAGCAAATCATTAGCAGAACTTATATTTACACACAATAATTTAGGGAAACTTTGGAAAGACAGGGATAGCTCATACAAGAAACTTTTCACTAATCTTTCTAATTTGACAATTTTAGATATATCCTTTAATGGCATTGCAAAGATTCCAGAAGATGTTTATGAATATTTGCCACGTAACCTCACCGCACTGCGCATAAGTCATAACTGCCTCAGCGATTTTAGCTGGGACAAACTGCCTTTCCACCAACTACAGAGTTTAGACCTGAGCTACAATCATCTGTCTACTTTAACAACTATTAACTCAAACATCACACAAACTCTGACTTTCCTTGACCTGAGTCATAATCACATTTCCCAAGTGCACAATGGTTTTTTACAGAGTTTGAAAAGCCTCAGGACTCTCAGCCTTAGAAACAACAAACTTACTATTGTCAATCGAACTACCTTCAAATCAGGACCTGAATTTCAGACTTTGTTCCTACAAGGAAATCCATTCGAGTGTACTTGTGATTCCATAGACTTTATTTTATGGATTGAACAGAGTGATGTAAAGATCCCAAGACTCACCACTCAGGTGACATGTAACACACCAGTGAACCAGAGGAACAAAATACTGATACGTTTTAACATTAGTCAGTGTGTAAATGCGGAAAAGGCAAAGCAGATCTACGCTCTAACAACTTCTATCATTATTCTTTTCATGATTGTTTCAACAGTTGCTCACTTATTTTACTGGGATGCTTCCTATGTCCTACACTATATGAAAGCTAAGCTGAAAGGGTACAGATCCTTGAACTCGCCAGATACTATTTATGATGTCTTTGTGACATATGATACAAAAGACCCACACGTCTCTGAGTGGGTGATGAGCAATCTGCGGGTGCAACTGGAGGAAGAGGGAGACAAGATACATCCACTGTGTCTGGAAGAGAGGGACTGGCCCCCAGGAATCCCACTGGTGGACAACCTCACCCAGAGCATCCAGTACAGTCGCAAGACTCTGTTTGTCTTAACAAAGGGCTATGTTAAGACTGGTGCTTTCAAGCTAGCAATGTATCTGGCCCACCAAAGACTGCTGGATGAAAATGTGGATGTGATAGTACTGCTAATGCTGGAGCCTGTCCTGCAGCATTCTCACTTTCTGCGCTTGAGGAAGCGACTGTGCGAGAGCAGTGTTGTAGAGTGGCCGCGAACAGCAGCCGCAGAGCCCTGGTTTTGGCAAAACCTGAGAACTGTCATAAGAGTCGACAATCAAGTGATGTACAACAAGACCTATTCAAAATACTTCACCACCAAATGAAGAAGGATAATAACATGAGCTTGTTAAATAACCAGTGCTTTTATATATCATTTCTTGTTTGGTCTTTTTAAAGTGTTTCTTCTTTGACTGAACTGTTTTTAAGAACTGGTTTCCTTATAGTTGTTGAGTTATTGACTTATTCAAAATGCTTCACCACTAAGTGAAGAAGGATAATCATCACTTATCTGCCTGGGACTGATTTGTAATTCTAGTCTGCAGACAATAACATGGTCCTGCTTTAAAATCACTGTTCTTTAGAGCAATGCTTATTTGGTTATTTTAAACGATTTCTTCTTTGTCTGAATCTAATAAGAAAACAATAAAAAACTAATTTTCTTATATTTGCTGAGAAAGCATAATAAATCTTGTGTAATCTGTCTGCAGTGCATTAATAAAAAAATAAAATAAAATAAAATGTGTGGCATTTTGCAGATGTAGATTTTATACTCTAGTCTCTGGTTTCTATGTTAGAAAACATCTGTGCTGAGTGACACCAGTACCAGGTTTAACAGTTAACAAAAGAGAAATTTAGTACAAAAGTGACAGATCCTAAATTGCAGTCCATTATTAAAAATCCATATCGACACAGTATGTGTAATATAACTTGCATGCTTTCATCTGTTATTTCACATTTGGAAATTTTTGAGATTGTCCGTAAGGTGGTGCAAGTGACACAGTTTTAATACAGTGCATTTTGCAAATTAGCCCTAAATTCAGTGTCCCACCAAAAATAAATCAGTGTGTGAGGCCATATATTACTAATGTCATATTAATGTCTAAGAAATATGTCATTTTTAAACTCCATATTACTTCACATAATCTGAAGAACTGACTGGCACTATGCACTGTTGCTGTGTTTACTGGCATTCCAGTGTTCATCTTGGCTGACAAATAAACTGGCATTTTTGAAGGAGGGAAATGAAAAAGATGCAGTTCTTCAATTAACGGGCTACTTCCCTCACACAGCTTATCATGTAGTTTTAACAGCGTGTTTCTTTTTTATTTGTCTTGAAGGGAACAAACAGGGTCATCTGTAACGAAATCATTAATAAAAGACAAGAAACTTTCAAGTCTTACAATTGAAAAAAAAATTGAAGCACACTAGCATAATTTTCCAAATTGTCATTCAGGGATCAATATAGTGGAGAAAAAATGGTGAGTTTTATTTTGTTTCTGTTCTTTATATTTACTTACATTTTTACATTTTATTAAATTTCTGATTACCTTTATATGCTATAATTTCATTTTATCTGTATTATTTTTGATTATTTTTCTAGTTTCAGGATTTTGGTGACAAAATGTTTCATAGATTTATTTGATTCTAAAAACCTGTACAGTTGACTTAATTTACTTTGGAAATGGCCTTTGGTATTTGGGTTTTTTTGGTATTTGGTATTTGTTGGCCAATTACATTAAAATGTACATTAAAAATTACTCACAAATTACACAAACTGTTCAGTAATTTTATATTTAAAATTTTTCCCAAGTGTGACAAAAAACAGGAACAGTCTTTCCAGCTACAATTTGATTTACGATTTATTGGCACCTGCTGGGTAGAAGTGATGCCATACTTACATACAATTTTCTTCAAGCTTACTTTGTAACATCAATGGGCCTCATTCACTTACACTATATATCCACAAATCTTTTATTCCACTGTATTTTTTGTGATTAAACCTGTTTGCACTTGAACAGCTTTAAAACTGCCCAACAGCAAGCGTTCAAACAAATGAGTTGTTGTTTTCTTTTGGCCATCCAGATCTCCAAATCATCATGAGCCAAAAAAGAAATGCCTTTTATCACAGTTAAATAAATAACAATTAAAAATAAACTGCATATAATGAATGTGGAATGCGAGTCGGCTTCATATTTTATTTCAAACAAATACTATAATATATAATAGGCATCTTATTTTATCTTATCAATATGTTTTCTCTCAAAACATCTCTGTAGTTCTTGGATGTCATGACTTACAGTCTAATTGGGCCAAGAACATCTTTTGCTGCAGTGAGTGTATAATCTGGGGCTCACAGATCAAAATATTAGTCTGAACCTTGAAGTAATTTAGAAAGGCACGAACTCAACAAAATTAGAGCAAGAACCCAAACAAGCAGACAAGACTCTATGACCAAGGACTAGGTAAAGGAGGGAGGGTAAACTAGGCTAAAGAAGCAGCAGCCATTTGCTGCTACTGTACTGCTTGAGGACTGAGTGGAAGGGAGAAATATGGAGAGGCCACAAAACAACAAACAGGACAAGAGAAAATACTGAGAAAGAGTAGAGACAAACTTTATGCATGCAGAAATGCAAGGCTAATAAATAAATGGGAAGTGAAAACAATGTAATCAAGGAGAAGCGCTAGTATGGCACGAGGGGTCCTGGAGTAGCTTAACTGATTCAGGGTCAGTCCAAATAATATGACCAAAAACAAAAGCTTTAAATTATTTCATTCAACTGATTCCATCAATTTTTCCACAGATTACCAAATGCTGGATGCTGTTGTTCTATCTCTGTTACCATCATGAGATCCTGCCGGCTGCACATAAACCCACCTGGATGACACGGCAGTTCCCTTGTGATGTTATATCCAACAATGCTTCAAATACAGTCAAATTTGACTGTAAAGGCCGCCATCTAGAGGAAGTACCAGAAGGGATAACTAAGCCATGATCTGACTTGTCGAAATGTCTTAGGAGTATTAAACTGATCATTTAATCTGCTGAATTGGCACATCTTCTCTGGCACAAACCATGATTATGGATCAGCACAAGATGTGAAATGTTTCAATTACAACTGAGCATAGACTAGGCAATGTCTGACTAAATTCACCATTCAGTGTGGAAGACTTGAGTAACATTACAATAATATGATACTGGTTATTGGTAACATATCTGGTATCTAAAAAGAAATAAGGTACTAACAAAACATTAACATGTAATCTTTGTTTATTCAACACATGATATGACTTAGAGTCATTAATGTAGCTGTGTGTGTGTGTGTGACATGAATCAGAAATCAGCTGAAACTGAACTGAGAAACTCACTAAATTACCTTGATCCCTCTTGGTTTCAAACGCTAACGAATCTTACACAATTGTTTCTGGAATTTAACTTTTTACAAAAAGCTGTAACTGGTAAGGACACACCAGTTAAAGCTTTCAGTTATCTTCACAGGCTAGAAAAACTTGACCTGTCTTTCAATTATGCTCTCGGATTGTACCTAGAAAAATTAACACTTTCAAAAGACTTTTCACAGCTCAGGTCACTGACAAGTTTGCATTTGAATGCTTTGGTATTCCAAAGTATTGGACCAGACACACTCACACCTCTGTACAATCTGAAAAATCTGTCTCATTTGTACTTAAGCACTAACTTCATTATTCACTCTGACCCTACCGTGTTCAGCAAGCTTTCCCACTTAAGAATGATATATCTCGGAGAAAACAGGTTATATCCCACTACAGTAGAAAGTCTACCAACTCTAAGAGACAGAAATAATGAGAATTCAGAAGTTTCTATGTCACCATTCGTAAAACTCACTCCAAAAGACTCAATTTATGAAGTACTACACAGGAATACAAAGCAAGAATGCGCCAATTCTGGACGAGTACTCATCCTCAGCTCAAATAATCTGTTCTTCATTTCTCCAAAGCAGTTTGTGGGCTATGGAAATATTTCATGTCTCAACCTCTCCAGAAATGGATTTTCACAGGCACTTAATGGCACAGAGTTCAAGATGTTGCCTAATCTGACATATCTGGACTTATCCTTCAATAGGGTTGATCTGGCCTATAACAACGCCTTCAAAGAACTAAAGAAATTACAAGTACTAGACCTCAGTTACAATTCACACTACTTTGAAGCATTTGGGGTAACGCTTAATTTAAATTTTACACAAAATCTACCTGTGCTAAGAGTCCTTAATATGAGTCATAATGAGATTTCCACACTGACAACAAAAGAGATGTATAGCAAATCATTAGCAGAACTTATATTTGCACAAAATCATCTAGGGAAACTTTGGAAAGACAGGGATAGCTCATACAAGAAACTTTTCACTAATCTCTCTAATTTGACAATTTTAGATATATCCTTTAATGGCATTGCAAAGATTCCAGATGATGTTTATGAATATTTGCCACATAACCTCACCACACTGCGCATAAGTCATAACTCACTCAGTGATGTTAATTGGGACAAACTGCCTTTCCATCAACTTCAAATTTTGGACCTAAGTTACAATTCTCTGTCTACTTTAACAACTATTAACTCAAACATCACACAAACTTTGACTTTCCTTGACCTGAGTCATAATCACATTTTCCATGCAGACAATTGTTTTTTAAAGAGTCTAAAAAGCCTCACGACTCTAAGCCTGAGTAACAACAAATTGACTATTGTCAATGAAACTACCTTCAAATCAGGACCTGCAAACCTGACTCTGTTCCTACAAGGAAATCCATTCGAGTGTACTTGTGATTTGTTAGACTTCGTTTTGTGGATTGAACAGAGTGATGTAAAGATCCCAAGACTGACCACTCAGGTGACATGTAACACACCAGTGAACTTAAAGGGACAAGGATTGATACATTTTAGCATTCATCAGTGTATAAATCCCAGTCAGGCATTTCAGATCTACACTCTAACAACTTCTATCATTATTCTTTTCATGGTTGTTTCAACAGTTGCTCACTTATTTTACTGGGATGCTTCCTATGTCCTACACTATATGAAAGCTAAGCTGAAAGGGTACAGATCCTTGAACTCGCCAGATACTATTTATGATGTCTTTGTGACATATGATACAAAAGACCCACACGTCTCTGAGTGGGTGATGAGCAATCTGCGGGTGCAACTGGAGGAAGAGGGAGACAAGATACATCCACTGTGTCTGGAAGAGAGGGACTGGCCCCCAGGAGTCCCACTGGTGGACAACCTCACCCAGAGCATCCAGTACAGTCGCAAGACTCTGTTTGTCTTAACAAAGGGCTACGTTAAGACCGGTGCTTTCAAGCTAGCAATGTATCTGGCCCACCAAAGACTGCTGGATGAAAATGTGGATGTGATAGTACTGCTAATGCTGGAGCCTGTCCTGCAGCATTCTCACTTTCTGCGCTTGAGGAAGCGACTGTGCGAGAGCAGTGTTGTAGAGTGGCCGCGAACAGCAGCCGCAGAGCCCTGGTTTTGGCAAAACCTGCAAAGTGTCATAAGAGTAGATAATCAAGTGATGTACAACAAGACCTATTCAAAATACTTCACCACCAAGTGAAGAAGGTCTTGTTTTAAAACTATTGATTTATGCATCATTGCTTGCTTGGTTCTTTTAAAACTTCTCTCGACTTATAAACAAAGAAACTACAAAACTTATTTGCTAATAATTGCTGAGAGAGCACAGCCTACCGAATATTTGTAAATGTGAAACTGTTATGTGCTGTATATTATCAAATAAAGCCTTTTCAAAATGTGTTCCATTTTGTGGATGTAAATTTTGGCAGACTACCATCTGGTTTTTGTATAAGAAAATAAATATTTTATGGGTTACAAGTTGAACTTATGCACAGCCTACTCTTTCATTTGGGTTTTTACTGACATTTTAGGACTTAGTAATTACTGTTTAGGGGGAAAAAACAACAACAAAAATACAAATTCTTGAAGCCAGGGAACCTGCTACACCACGTTTGGTTAGTACCTACTTTGTCCATACGGTGTCACCACTGATTCAGTTTTAATGGGAGTGCCGTTTGCAAATAAACCCTCAAGTCATTGTTCCACTAACTGTCGGCTACATTTATTTTTCCTTACAAGAGCAAACAAGGCGCTGTAGTGATGCAGACACCTTTTGTAGAGTTCGGAGAAAATCAATAAACGACGTTAATTAAGCTAATGGCACACAGCTGTTGCTAATGGCCACTCGATTTGAATGAATGTTCTGAGGTGTTTGTTTGTTTTTTGTTTTTTTTACTTGCGCTATGGTTTCGGGATATCAGCGTTTGTTTTCAAGACTATATATAAGATTAAAAAATGTTCACTTTTTCTTTTTTTATCGTTTGTATCGAAGCAGCCTTGTCGTGACGTCAGAGGCTCATTTGCATACGGTATTGTATTTATTGTGTGATTGAGGCTGACGCTAGCACTCTGCTCCTGCAACAACCGGACGCGCAGCCTGTGATTTCTGTGAGTCGTGCTCTTGTAAGTAAGTTCCCTTTTTTTTTTTTTTTGTTTCTTGTTAAAGTTGACCGGCGCTTAAATTTAGCTTGATGTGCCCTTATTTCCTCTGGTTTCAGTTTCTTGGCTCAATGACTACATCATGACGTTTAACAAAGTAAAAGTGTAAATGACCTAAGCTGCGGAATTTATGAGCATACTGCTTTGTGGGGGTTTTTTTTATTATTATTTTAAACACGAATTTGTAGAACGCCTGTTTAAAATTAAAGTTCACTGTGGAGTGCATTCGGCGTAGCAGCATCCGTACTTGAAAGTGTTGTGTGCATCGAGATCGCTAGCGACTGTATGAGTCCGGGGGGGGGGCGGTATTCAAATTCTCAATGCCTTGAAATTTAACTGTCTGACTACACATGCTCGGGTGTGCTGATTAGCCTAATAAGAAGGGTCTCTTTGTTTTAGAACCTTCTGCAAACATGTCTGACAAGCCTGACGTCACTGAGGTTACAACCTTTGACAAGACCAAGCTGAAGAAGACCGAGACTCAAGAGAAAAACCCACTGCCAACCAAAGAAGGTAGGTACTACACTGTCTGACTTTAATCCAGAGCATGTCTGCTATGCTGGAACTCTGAGACCCTAACCTTCTACCTCCTGTTGCAGTCATCGAACAGGAGAAGGCAGAGTCATCATGAAGACCAGGCCTCCTACGTGCTGTACATTTGACAAGCTTCGTCTCTATCAAAATGCATTTCAAGTTTCATAACCTACTTGAGAAATGGCTGTACAACTCACACTATTCACTTGGCTTGATGACCCTCTGTACAGTATGGCAGTGTGGCTTTATGTCACCTTTAGGATCTGGTCATCTGTGTGCATCAATGAGCAGGGGGGAAACAACTGACAAATCTGCACTTGGCAATTTGTAGCCCTACTCCGGTCACCTGTAATGCTCACAAGCAAGCTGTTGTAAAACCTGAAATGCGCAAGATTTGTTTAATATGCACAATAAAAAAAAATGTAAATTTCACGTGCATGTGGTGTTTTGGTTTTTTGGGGGGGGTGGCGGTGTAACTTTTGCTCAGCCTTGGGAGCTAACATTGAATGCCCTTTTATCCTGAGCAGGTTTGACTGGATGGAAGCTCTCTATAGGCGTTTCAGCTTGTCTGCTAGCTAAACTGAATCTGTACCAACAGTTGGAACTAAAGCTTGATCAGCCGGTTCCTTTTGAGCACCGGTCCAACAGAAGCTGGTAATATATTGGCTCTGTCTCTTTATTTATATTTTTTTTTTTTTAAATTTAATTGTGCATCTTAAGCACTGCAGAAATTGTATGTCATCCCAGTGGGCTTCAAAAACACAACTTTACAATGCAGAACTTTTCGGAAGCCTTCGTCAACATCCAAAAAAGCCAGTTATTCAACCTTGTGGTCTGTAAAGGTGTTGTGCAAAACATTGCTGCCCTATCTGCCACAATTGTACTCAAGACTAGTCCTACATAGTTCACTTTTTTGGTTTTTCTACCTTGCAGCTGCACTAGGCCCCGTGTTAAAGTATGCAATAACGCATCCAAAGCCACTAGCTGATGGACTAGTTCCTTTAAAATGCCAGTTTGGAATAAGAGCCATGGCTCTCTATTTTGTGACATGCAATTGAAACTGTCCAGTTATTTACACCTGCAGATGCAAAACTCTAAACTTGTAGGTCCAGTTACTAATCTCTACCTTGCAAGAGAAGTTTAATACCGGTCTGTGCGAAATGGGTGTTTGAAATGAAGCTGCTGCGCCTTGAGGTGCACATGAAAAAGAAAGCTTTAGGATCTAACAAATTCTACATTTAGCTGGAAACCATATTCAAGAACCCTTAATCATGGTGACGGTGTTTAATGTGTTAAACCACAGTACTGGTGCGGCAGGTGTATTTGGAGATTGTCACCTCCAAAAAATGTAAAGGGTTTTTTTTTGTTTTTTTTGTTTTTTTTCTCAAATTAACTGAACTAAAACAAAAAGGAACTAATTATGCTGTTTACACACATCAGTTGTCTCTTATGTTTGGAAAGTGGTTACATAATGCAATGTGTCTACAGACCATAACAGCTGTGCTGAAACAACAATAGGCTTTGCTGGGGGATTGGCACAAGTTCATCCTCTTTCCCATAAGGCCATATTCAGGCTACATTTGTTTTTAATAAGGGAACAGGACATGTTAGTTTATTTTGTATTTGCTGTTTTTAAGGAGCTCATGTAGACATTTGTGATGCCAGGCCCTCCTCTTCACCATCTACCATCTGTATGTGCAGTCTGGTCTGACAAGAACTCTGTGTCCTATAATAGTGTGTACTGTGAGACAGACCATATAGAATTTATGGATTTCAAGACAATACTCTGTCACTGGACTGTTTCATGTTTTTCTTTTTTTAAACTTTCTTAGACAGACAAAAGTACTTTATAGCGATAAATTGTAAGGGTTTAGCACTAGATCGAATGTTGGAAAAATACAAAATGTGTCCGTTTAATAAGGAAAGCACCATATTTATGCGATAAAAATCTAAGTCTTTCTATATTTTTACTAATTCTGCCTTTATGGTTCTGGTTTCCATGACTGTGTCTGACAAGTTGAGACCTGACGAAGTCTTTGAAAAGGAATGCAAGTGACATGAAATGGCTGATTGAGTTGAACTTGGCGTAAGAGACCAAACTGCCTTCTGCCACTGTTGTGATGGACACCCTCTGAAATGGCTGTGACTCAGGGGTAACTGACAAAGAACACAGATATCCCTGAGACTGCTTATAGCTGCATACTGTACATAATGTGCTAGGAGGATGAGACCACTCTGACAGTGTTCCTGCTCCAGTAGATGTATTGTACAGTGCCAACGACTGTATTGTACTGTTGGACTGAGTGGATATGAATAACTCGACAAAAGATATGCAGGATTGTACAGAATACACAAAAAATAAGCACATCTTGCCCTTGTCTCATATAGCTGGAAAACATAGTATCATGAAAGGGAAAAAAAAATCTGTTTTATAAAGATCACATTTTTTTTCCTATTTTATTATGAACTGTGAAGTCTACTTTCAGACAAATATGTTGTATTTATGCTTATTTTACAACTAAGCAGCCAATTCCATTATCAGTGCAGTCAGAGTTGAATGACTTTACTTTTGTGTGTAACTGATGCACACATTTGTCTCAAATGATTCCTTTGATACATTTTAAGAGACGCAGTGTATGCTGCTGTCCTTTGTAAGTCTATATAGGCTGATGAACCTCGAAGTAATGGCATGGGAATAATCACACCTCAGACAGTTACTAAACAATGAGACATCACAAGGGAAATAAAGCAAACCCCATGAAATCATTTTACTTGTCTGAACAGTGGACTGGTTTAATTTTTGGAATTTAGGCAAAGCACTTAGCTTTTACTTTAAAAAATATTTTTCAGTGAATATATAATATTAAAACCAATGTAACACAAAAACAACACAAATAATGAACACCCCTTATTTGTATCACTTAGGGAATTATCACCTAGGTCCCATTGTGTTTTTAAGAGGAAATGCTAAAATAGTGAAACAAGCCTGTTCCTATAAGTTTTATTTTTACATTCAGGAGGAAGTGACAGAATTTCAGCTGTATGGTGAGACTTGTTTCTGTGTTTCTGCTGCTCACAAAAAAACCAGTCAGGTTTAAGACTGAACTTCTACTTTTCTCTGTGTTTCCATGGCAGCAGATGAGATTTTCCACTGTGGATCAAACAGTGTTGTTCAAAGCTCTAAATCTATTCAATTCTCAAGAGGAACTAATTTTTGAAAAGTATTGCTTGATCAGTGCAAGCAATTGTGATTTCAGGAATTATCTTGTTCATGTATGATGGTTTTGCTCTATGTGTTGTTTTTCACACTACCCAAGCTTTATTTTACCTTTCTGTTTTTTGCATTAATATCAGAACTGAAAATAAATGACCACACCTGGAGGTTTTTATTGTGGTGTACCAATAGGTTATAAAGGATATTCCTGTAGGAAATGAATGCCCAGCTAGGAATATAATGATTCGACTCTGTTGAGAACAGCTGCTACGGACAGCAGACATAAAACAAGACAAACTCAACTCCACAGTGAAATATTTTCTGTTGTGTTCACAGCAAACGCTCGACTATCTTCCTTCAGGCGATGATGTAAAAATGTGTCTACATGCCACAGCATGTCTCTCATGTTAAGACACAGCCTTGCAGTTTTTTAGGGCTTCAGGTATGAAGCAAAGCGTAAACACT